CTTCGATAAACGATCGTTCTTTAGAGTAAGATAAACGTTCGAGCAAATATAAAACTCGAAAGCACACAGTATATAACAGTTCCTACTTATAGCAGAAACCAAAAAGAATATAATCACACGTGAAGTCTTGTAGCTTCGCAAAAACAAGTCGAGGAAGAAAGCTTCCCGATAACAAAATGGCGATAAACACGCGAAATATAAGAAGGAACACTGAAGGTGTCAGAACGTGGCCAAACCACCCCCCGACTAGACCCTAGCAACAAGAAAAGAGGAAAGACCCCCTCCTGTTCGGTTGCCCCCTAAATGGGCCCCCTAATAAGGAACTACCAGAAAACAAATACAAAATATAACAATTTACAAACAAGGAACGAACTCACAGTTTTGAAGACGATATTGAATATGATTACGAACAACGAACGATCACAACGCGCAGACTCCGAAACAGCAGATCTCGACAGGTCACCGTGTCTGTTAGCAGCTACACTTGATCTTAGCCAAAAGGCCGAGAAGCGATACAGAAGAAGAGCTTTCGCCATTTTTTCACTCTACAAGTTGCATGAGAAACACACGGTTCTATTGTATCTTTTCGCGTAGAAATCATGCAACAAATGAAAAATCAAGCAGTACGGATAACGAAGGAATCATCCTTTACTACAATCGTCATGTCAAGCGTTCTTTCTAATCCAATGTACACCTGTTCGTAAAGAAGAACATGTTTGAAAATTCGCGCGTAATGCCGCGAAATGCGATCGTTTCATATGACGTAGGAAGCACGCGATGTCTGTCGCGAACTTGCTGCAGACGTGCTTTCTCATTGTAAAACAAACGCTTTGTGCTTGTGGGCGATAATGATTCGCATTGTATGCAAGTGCTGCAATGTCAACAAGGTCATGCTTCATGAAATCGGCAGACAAGCAGCTCAATGAACGAATTTTACACTACGAGCCGTTAAATGTCAGTGATACATAGAAATAATTACTATAAAAAGCTAAACAAACGTACGACTAAGTAAGAAAAACGTTCGCAATGCAATTTCATTACTGTTAACGTCGACGATACATATTATAATTTGTATATTTTCATAATGTATATGCCGTCCGTCAAAATATACACACACGCCGGCCGTTTACGTCGTTGTTAAGTACAAGTAATTTATGTCAAATACAAGTAATTTATTCTTGCTAATAGATGATATAAATTTCTCCTGCATCTCGCTATGCATTTTGGGATAGGTCAGTAAAAAATTTGGCAGCATGCAACCTAACCCCGAACGAACAACGAATTTATATATCGTGTTCTATTTTATTTGTTCTTTTTCTCCGCTTCTTCCTCCCATCGTGAGAAACGAAGGGGACGAGCGCGAACGCAGGTCCCCACTACCAGAAATTATACGCTCGAGTTACCCACGTTAGGGTAATCGCAGGAGTCAACCCAGTCGAAGTGCAATGAAAGGGCCTCATCCTGAGAGGACCTCCTAGCTGATCAAGGTGCCTCTCGCGTCAGGTAAGTATGCTCGAACGACGCACGGCGAGCATACTTTGTACGCGAACGTACGCTCGGTGCGACACGGTTGCACCCCCTCCCTTTACTTTTTCACTACTTTTTGCACTTGCAACTTACCGTCTGACGGCCTTTATTGTCTTCCTTTCCGACGACGACGACGTCTTTTCGTCTTTCGCCGACTCTGTCGAAAAGAGACGTATGTTAGTTAATTAGTTAAATGTTAAACGGTTCGTTTCTCGGTTAGTTAGTTAGTTAGTTAGTTACAGACAAAATAAATTCGCTTTGCTATTTGATTTGCTGGCTGTTTTGTTTGTTTTTTTTTTCTTTTGTTTAAAGTAAATGTGTTTCCCTTCCGCGAAGGGAAATGGGCCGAACTCGGAGGTAGTGCAATACCGAGACAACCCGTGGCCAGGGCGAAGCAAGCTCCAATCCCATGGCCGATATCCAAAAATCAGTTTAATATAAGAGTCGGGCATTGCCCGACATATCAGATATTAAGCTGATAAGAACAGATACTACACTTGATCTTATTTTGGGTGGGGACCGGGTAGGTTACGGAGTCGGGGGTGCAATGACTACGAACCCTTACGTGCAAGACCGGTACACTCAGGAGGCCGCTACAACGCAGATCGACAGAGGATGTGAACCTCTCCCCGCGACAAAACCAACAGAGAAACGAAAGGGGAGAGATCTAGGATCTCTCTACGATACGAAGCTCAGGCATAAATGCCAGAGCTTGGACAAAACTAACGAAAAAAGACGAGACGAGATGTTGAGAAGGACAGCAAGCTGTCCTTTCGCAATCTACGTTACGTACAACGAGCGGGCTATCCGGCAGTACAACCAATTAAGGCGACCCCCTTCAGCACCGTCCAACAAACTACCAATGTCAAGACATAAAATCCTTGGAAAAGGATACTGTGTTGTCGCTAGCGATGGTGCCAACCAAGCCACGAAGCAACCATTCTTCTTCGAACTTCGTCAACAGACAGTGGCGATGTTCAAGTTTCACCGCGAATCGGAAAGTCGACTTCGCCATCCGCAGCACCAAAGAGGCATCGGGAGAGACGGTCGAACCTGCATCGATTGCGGTGAAGCCACAAATGATGACGGGATGCCCAAATGGCATTCACGGCCGCAGGGATCTTCTTCGCGACCGGAATCCAAAGAGAATGGTGGAGATTGAAAGGGGCGTTGGTACGGCCAAAGACACCAGTAGAGGGGTCATCCAGTCCCAAACGGTCTTAGCGACGGACAGGAGGAAAAAGGTGGATTGCAGTTTCTCTCCACAGAAACAGTTCGCATCAACTCTCATGCGAAACGAATCAAACGATCCGCTGTGGCCAAGGCCATGAAAGTTATAATAGTTCGTATCTGCACACGATCGTACAAATCGCCATAGTGATAAAGAACGCCACACAGATGGCCAGTGGACAACGATTTGTTGCAGCGAATTTTCCGATGGCTTTGTGAGCCAGCACGTTTTTAAGAGGACCGAGTAGGTACGTTTGGCGTTAATTCAGCCAGCGAATAGGCGGTGTCAGCATGTCCAACCAACCACGAATCATTCTCATGTCGCCCTTTCAGTTAGCCATGTATGGACCACAGACTGATAGATCTTCGCCAGGCGATACAGAAGAAGAGCTTTCGCCATTTTTCACTCTACAAGTTGCATGAGAAACACACGGTTCTATTGTATCTTTTCGCGTAGAAATCATGCAACAAATGAAAAAAATCAAGCAGTACGGATAACGAAGGAATCATCCTTTACTACAATCGTCATGTCAAGCGTTCTTTCTAATCCAATGTACACCTGTTCGTAAAGAAGAACATGTTTGAAAATTCGCGCGTAATGCCGCGAAATGCGATCGTTTCATATGACGTAGGAAGCACGCGATGTCTGTCGCGAACTTGCTGCAGACGTGCTTTCTCATTGTAAAACAAACGCTTTGTGCTTGTGGGCGATAATGATTCGCATTGTATGCAAGTGCTGCAATGTCAACAAGGTCATGCTTCATGAAATCGGCAGACAAGCAGCTCAATGAACGAATTTTACACTACGAGCCGTTAAATGTCAGTGATACATAGAAATAATTACTATAAAAGCTAAACAAACGTACGACTAAGTAAGAAAAACGTTCGCAATGCAATTTCATTACTGTTAACGTCGACGATACATATTATAATTTGTATATTTTCATAATGTATATGCCGTCCGTCAAAATATACACACACGCCGGCCGTTTACGTCGTTGTTAAGTACAAGTAATTTATGTCAAATACAAGTAATTTATTCTTGCTAATAGATGATATAAATTTCTCCTGCATCTCGCTATGCATTTTGGGATAGGTCAGTAAAAATTTGGCAGCATGCAACCTAACCCAACGAACAACGAATTTATATATCGTGTTCTATTTTATTTGTTCTTTTCTCCGCTTCTTCCTCCCATCGTGAGAAACGAAGGGGACGAGCGCGAACGCAGGTCCCCACTACCAGAAATTATACGCTCGAGTTACCCACGTTAGGGGTAATCGCAGGAGTCAACCCAGTCGAAGTGCAATGAAAGGGCCTCATCCTGAGAGGACCTCCTAGCTGATCAAGGTGCCTCTCGCGTCAGGTAAGTATGCTCGAACGACGCACGGCGAGCATACTTTGTACGCGAACGTACGCTCGGTGCGACACGGTTGCACCCTCCTTTACTTTTCACTACTTTTGCACTTGCAACTTACCGTCTGACGGCCTTTATTGTCTTCCTTTCCGACGACGACGACGTCTTTTCGTCTTTCGCCGACTCTGTCGAAAAGAGACGTATGTTAGTTAATTAGTTAAATGTTAAACGGTTCGTTTCTCGGTTAGTTAGTTAGTTAGTTACAGACAAAATAAATTCGCTTTGCTATTTGATTTGCTGGCTGTTTTGTTTGTTTTTTCTTTGTTTAAAGTAAATGTGTTTCCCTTCGCGGGGAAATGGGCCGAACTCGGAGGTAGTGCAATACCGAGACAACCCGTGGCCAGGGCGAAGCAAGCTCCAATCCCATGGCCGATATCCAAAAATCAGTTTAATATAAGAGTCGGGCATTGCCCGACATATCAGATATTAAGCTGATAAGAACAGATACTACACTTGATCTTATTTTGGGTGGGGACCGGGTAGGTTACGGAGTCGGGGGTGCAATGACTACGAACCCTTACGTGCAAGACCGGTACACTCAGGGAGGCCGCTACAAGCGACGCAGATCGACAGAGGATGTGAACCTCTCCCCCGCGGACAAAACCAACAGAGAAACGAAAGGGGAGAGATCTAGGATCTCTCTACGATACGAAGCTCAGGCATAAATGCCAGAGCTTGGACAAAACTAACGAAAAAAGACGAGACGAGATGTTGAGAAGGACAGCAAGCTGTCCTTTCGCAATCTACGTTACGTACAACGAGCGGGCTATCCGGCAGTACAACCAATTAAGGCGACCCCCTTCAGCACCGTCCAACAAACTACCAATGTCAAGACATAAAATCCTTGGAAAAGGATACTGTGTTGTCGCTAGCGATGGTGCCAACCAAGCCACGAAGCAACCATTCTTCTTCGAACTTCGTCAACAGACAGTGGCGATGTTCAAGTTTCACCGCGAATCGGAAAGTCGACTTCGCCATCCGCAGCACCAAAGAGGCATCGGGAGAGAGACGGTCGAACCTGCATCGATTGCGGTGAAGCCACAAATGATGACGAAGGATGCCCAAAATGGCATTCACGGCCGCAGGGATCTTCTTCGCGACCGGGAATCCAAAGAGAATGGTGGAGATTGAAAGGGGCGTTGGTACGGCCAAAGACACCAGTAGAGGGGTCATCCAGTCCCAAACGGTCTTAGCGACGGGACAGGAGGAAAAAAGGTGGATTGCAGTTTCCTGCTCTCCACAGAAACAGTTCGCATCAACTCTCATGCCGAAACGAATCAAACGATCCGCGGTGGCCAAGCGGCCATGAAAGTTATAATAGTTCGTATCTGCACACGATCGTACAAATCGCCATAGTGATAAAGAACGCCACACAGATGGCCAGTGGACAACGATTTGTTGCGCAGCGAATTTTCCGATGGCTTTGTGAGGAGCCAGCACGTTTTTTAAGAGGACCGAGTAGGTACGTTTGGCTGTTAATTCCGCCAGCGGAATAGGGGCGGTGTCAGCATGTCCAACCAACCACGAATCATTCTCATGTCGTCCTTTCAGTTGTAGCCATGTATGGACCACAGACTGATAGAACTTCGGCAGTCGTTTTATTAGATATGCTGGTGTGGTCACCCGGGCAAAAAAGGTGTTTAAGTCTTGTTTAAAAACTTGACCAATATGGTGTGTAAACAAGACCGGCCAAGGGACAGTGTTTCGAGTCAGCAGTAGGCGACGTAACCAAATTGTACGTAAGGATAAAAGTTTCGTGCCAACGTGCACGACACCCAGACCCCCCTGAAGACGAGGAGCAACGGCAGAGCTGCGCGCAATAGGTTCTTTATTTTTCTTCCATAAGAAGGGAAATAAAAGTTTATTTACGGCATGCACGACTGTCTTAGGCATGTCAAAAATCGTGGCCTGGTACCAAAAGATACTCAGGCCTAGTGTGTTTGCCAGCAGGGTTCTGCCCTGCAGAGATAGAGATCGCGAAGACCAAGATTTGAGTTTCGAGTTCAGTTTTTGAATGAGGGTGTCCCAATCTGGTAAAACAGAATTCCCAACACGACATCCCAGCACGGTCAGGTGGTCAGACTTCCATTTTAAGTTGACAGGTAAGTTTAAGCGCGTTGACCAAGAACCAAAAAGTAGGCCCTCCGTCTTGTCCAAGTTAAGCTTTGCACCTGTGGCTCTGGCAAAACGATCGCAAACATCCAAAAGAGCAAGCAAGCTGGCATCGTCCATGACGAAGCATGTCGTGTCATCAGCATATTGTAAAATTTTTACGGTTTCACCATTTGGTAGCGGGAAGCCATGAATATCCGCGGAGTCCTGAATCGCTTGAGAAAGCGGTTCGGCCGCCAAGATATATAACAGAGGTGAAAGGGGACAACCCTGCCGTACTCCCCGGGAAATAGAAAAAGGACCCCCGAGAGCACCGTTAATTAATATACGGGAATACAAAGTATTATACAGCAGCGAATCCAAGCACGGAAAGAAGGTCCAAAATTCATGGATGTTAGCACTTTCTGTAAAAAGTCCCAATCAATGCGATCGAATGCTTTCTCTTGATCGAGAGACAGTAAAATGCCACCAGTGTTTGAAGAGTTGGCAGTATCCAGGCAATCTTGTATCAAGCGCACTATTTCTCCCGAGAAACGTCCCGGAATACCACACGTTTGGCATGGTGAGACGACAGAGTGTAGGACCTTGGCCAAGCGGCCAGTGAGGACTTTGGACAAGATTTTGTAGTCCGTGCAGAGCAAAGTGATCGGACGCCAGTTCTTGGTGTCCATTTTGTCACCTTTTTTGTACAGGAGTGTTATTATTCCCGTTCGTTGGGACAGGGATAATTTCCCGGCCGAAAAAGAGGCATTAAGTACAGATACTAAATCTGGGCCCAAAATAGTCCAGAATGCACGATAAAATTCATAGGTAAAGCCATCCACCCCCGGAGATTTATTAGTTTTAAAAGAATTTAAGGCAGCGGTACATTCTTCCAGCGAAACAGTTCCCTCACAGAGGGCTGCTTCCATAGGAGACAGTTTATGTTTTATGCTCTCCAAGAAAAACGTTTGTTCTGCAGCGTCTAGGTAGGCGGCAGTGAAAAGGGCAGAGTAGAATACCATCCATACATGCAACATGCCACGCAAGGTTCGACGGTATGGCCATGTACGTCTTTAATTGCATGCATCACGTGTCGTATTGTTTTAGATTGTTCCGTTGAAGGAAATACTTAGAGGAGATTTCCCCCTCCTCAGCCCAACGTTCACGTGCTCGCAAGCGTGCACCTTCGGCTTTGCGGCGATGGTGGAGATACAAAGAATCCTCAACCTCACTGATCTGTTCTGAAACGTCCTTCATGACTGCGAGCAGTCAGGTCACGAAGTTGATTGTTCAAAGTCTCGCACTCTTCTCGTTGCGACGAAGCCAGCTCCGTCGAGAAGTCTACGGTGATCTGTCGCAAAAGGTGTTTTCCGACGTCCCACCAAACAGGTAAGGATGGGTAATATATTTTCTCCTGTTGCCATTCGCTCCAGAAATCTTTAATTAATTTAATATATATTTCGTTATTTAATAAATTTTTATTGAATTTCCAGCAGCCCCTCCCACGCTCCGGCGCATCCGGAAGAGAAAAGGAAAGATATACGTATGAATGGTCGCTACGAAAGTACGGTAATATGGAGACTTCCTTAACGTGTGGTGCGAAATACGAGGACAACCAAAACATGTCCAGTCGCGATCCGATTTGTCCGTTGGCGCGAGACCAGGTAAAGGAGCGTTCTTGGGGATGGCGAGCTCTCCAAATATCGACCAAATTCATATCTTTCGTAAGAGCGGCCAAAGTGTGCGGCCAATTGTACGCCCAGGGTGACGTCGGGTTGCAGCCTTTGCGGTCAATTTGTGGATCGACCACCGTGTTGAAATCTCCTCCAATGATGGTAGGGAGAGCGACATCGAGCATGGGAAGAATGGAATTAAAGAAAGCGATGCCTGGGTTCTTTTGGTTAGGCCCGTAGATGTTTACGAGCTGGAAGGGTGTGGAGTGTAGAGAAAAATGGATAACTTGCAACCGACCTTGTGAGTCGGCTGAAGAGGAAAGAACGGACAGAGAAGGGTGATAAAGAACGGCAACGCCCCGCGAGCGGGTCGTGCCGGGAGACGAAAGCACTTTATACGCGGTCTTGTTATTGTCATGATCGGTTTCATCATCAAGCCATTGTTCGAATTCAGCCTGACTGGTAGAGTGTGTTTCTTGTAGACACGCAATGGTTGGTGCAAAACAAGAGAGCCAAGAAAACAATACAGACCTCTGTGTCGAATTACGGAGGCAATTCAGTGATGATAATAATACATTGAAAGAAAAGAAGAAAAAGAAAGAAAAAGAAAAGAAAAAAAAGGAAAAGGAAAGAAAAGAAAGAAAAAGAAAAGGAAAAGAAAAGAAAAAGAAAAGGAAAAGAAAGGAAGGAAAAGGAAAAGAAAAAAGAGGAAAAGGAAGAAAAAGAAAGAAAAAGGAAAATGGAAGATGGAATGGAAAGGATGAAAGGGAATGTCCACAGATCGATTTGAGATGACAGTCTTCTTAGGGAAAGTCGGGGACGAGGAGCAGGCAGGTGGGTGGGCAATTCCGCCTCTGATACGGTAGCGGAAGCGCAGGAAGCGCCATCATCGCTAGCGCAATCATCTTCTCCAAGGTCGAGGTAGTCGGCCGGGTCCATCTGTTCCACTGCCGAATGCTGTGACTCGTTGTCGTCACCAATATCATCATTATTAACATCATTATCATCGTTTTCATCATTATCATCATTAGCATCATCATTATCATTATCATCATCATCATTATCATTACCATCATTATCATCATTATCATCATCATCCTCAACATTATCATCATTATCGTTGTCCATGTTCGTGTTCGTGTTCGTCTCGTCGTCCATGTCCGTTTCATCATTGTCATCATCATCATCCTCATCAGTGTCCGCAGGTAGGGGCACTGTATCCGGTGGGGGTTCTGTGTTCCCGGGATCAGGAGTGACCGCAATGTCACCAACATCCGAATCATCGGGTGTCGCTCGTTTCTCCTCTGGTTGCGGTGATGTGGCTGGAGAATGGCGTCTCTTCCCACGACGTCGTACAGGACTAGAGGTGCTTGATGGAGAAGACTCCATATTGACAGTGCCCCCCTCCCCAGAAGGGGCAGAAAGGGCAGGCAGAGTGGTAGAGGCAGATTCCGGAGCGTCGGAAACGCGGGCAGGAGCCGACTGGGCATTACTATTACTATTATTACAATTAGATAGCACGGGAGTGGATGGCCCGGCACTCTCGGAGGCATCAAAAGATAAAGTGTTGCTTCTTGCAATCGCGGCATACGATCGCGAAGGAGCTGTTGGTACAGAAGACTCTGTGTTATTATTATTATTATTGTTATAATTGGCAAGGGCAGCTCGAAAAGACGGACAGTCCGCGATGACATGTCCCTCTTTGTGGCATTTAAAGCACACGGGCTTTTGGCCACTGTATTTAACGACGCACCAATGTCCGGCGATGCGAAGGCGAGCAGGGATGTTAGACGTGATCTTCATTAAGACGTTGTGCTCACCGGTATAGATCTTCTCGTGTAGCACCGATTTAATTGTTTTTATGCCGCCACTGTAAGGGGCAAGTGCCCTAGTTATCGCTTCGTCTGGGATCCCGTACGATAAGCGGGAAATATAAACCCACGTGAATGGGGAAACCGAACGAAATTCCACTGGTTTACCATGTACCAGGAAGTCTTGGTTTGAAAACGCCTGCATTTGGCGTGCGTTATTAAATGTCAGGCGATATCGCTCAGGTGAGATCTGCACCACAGCTTCGACAGTAGAAGACAATTCCGTGTCTTCAACAGATTTATTACGTCTTTGGCTCCCTTTTTAGGAAGGGGGCAGTCAGGGTGCAAGATGATATCGACTGTGCGGGAAGCGTACGGTATCATTATTATTATATATAAGTTGTTATTCCGTTCACAAAATATTATTATTAAACGGGGGCGTATGAAAAATTAAAAATGCAAGCAATCATGCATTCAATTCATACAAGCAAAAAATCAGACGTTTATGGCAGAAAAACGCCCAAAGCAAAAATCTTCGGTCAAACAGACCAAATAATAGCAGAAAAAGTATGGAACACGCTTACACCAGTCGAAATATAACAACTAGTGTATAAACACTCAGTATATTAGCGTATATTCAAGCAGCAAGCGCTCGACTACGCCCACGAATAATGTATAAACGCCGCGTGAAAGTACAACGGCAAAGGCAGAATTAGTGAGAAAATCTACAGTTAAATATTAAATTCACCGTAGAACAAAAAGGCAAAAGGTAGAATACGCTAGTCTAAAACAAACTAGCAAAAAAACAAGGCAAAAAATAGACAGAAACGAAGCGAACAAACAAAGTGCTTCGCGAAAGTATAACAACGCTGAATAGCAGCAATCAGCGTTAAGGCAAAGATAAACTAATAGAAAATACGAGCAAGAAGTTATAAAACAACGCCCGATCAAAGTACAAACGACCTTCGATAAACGATCGTTCTTTAGAGTAAGATAAACGTTCGAGCAAATATAAAACTCGAAAGCACACAGTATATAGCAGTTCCTACTTATAGCAGAAACCAAAAAGAATATAAATCACACGTGAAGTCTGTAGCTTCGCAAGAAGTCGAGGAAGAAAGCTTCCCGATAACAAAATGGCGATAAACACGCGAAATATGAAGGAACACTGAAGGTGTCAGGTGGCCAAACCACCCCGACTAGACCCTAGCAACAAGAAAGAGAAAGACCCCTCCTGTTCGGTTGCCCCTAAATGGGCCCCTAATAAGGAACTACCAGAAAACAGATACAAAATATAAATTTACAAACAAGGAACGAACTCACATTTTGAAGACGATATTGAATATGATTATGAACAACGAACGATCAAAAACGCGCAGACTCGAAACAGCAGATCTCGACAGGTCACCGTGTCTGTTGCAGCTACACTGATCTTAGCCAAAAGGCCGAGAAGCGATACAGAAGAAGAGCTTTCGCCATTTTTTCACTCTACAAGTTGCATGAGAAACACACGGTTCTATTGTATCTTTTCGTAGAAATCATGCAACAAATGAAAAAATCAAGCGTACGGATAACGAAGAATCATCCTTTACTACAATCGTCATGTCAAGCGTTCTTTCTAATCCAATGTACACCTGTTCGTAAAGAAGAACATGTTTGAAAATTCGCGCGTAATGCCGCGAAATGCGATCGTTTCATATGACGTAGGAAGCACGCGATGTCTGTCGCGAACTTGCTGCAGACGTGCTTTCTCATTGTAAAACAAACGCTTTGTGCTTGTGGGCGATAATGATTCGCATTGTATGCAAGTGCTGCAATGTCAACAAGGTCATGCTTCATGAAATCGGCAGACAAGCAGCTCAATGAACGAATTTTACACTACGAGCCGTTAAATGTCAGTGATACATAGAAATAATTACTATAAAAGCTAAACAAACGTACGACTAAGTAAGAAAACGTTCGCAATGCAATATCATTACTGTTAACGTCGACGATACATATTATAATTGTATACTTTCATAATGTATATGCCGTCCGTCAAAATATACACACGCCGGCCGTTTACGTCGTTGTTAAGTACAAGTAATTTATGTCAAATACAAGTAATTTATTCTTGCTAATAGCTGATATAAATTTCTCCTGCATCTCGCTATGCATTTTGGGATAGGTCAGTAAAAAATTTGGCAGCATGCAACCTAACCCCGAACGAACAACGAATTTATATATGTCCCAAAGCGTGGCATACACAATTGACGGACGAAAGGCCCTCTTCTCTCTATTGTGTTCTATTTTATTTGTTCTTTTTTCTCGCTTCTTCCTCCCATCGTGAGAAAGAGGGGACGAGCGCGAACGCAGGTCCCCACTACCAGAAATTATACGCTCGAGTTACCCACGTTAGGGGTAATCGCGGAGTCAACCCAGTCGAAGTGCAATGAAAGGGCCTCATCCTGAGAGGACCTCCTAGCTGATCAAGGTGCCTCTCGCGTCAGGTAAGTATGCTCGAACGACGCACGGCGAGCATACTTTGTACGCGAACGTACGCTCTGTGCGACACGGTTGCACCCCCTCCCTTTACTTTTTCACTACTTTTTGCACTTGCAACGTACCGTCTGACGGCCTTTATTGTCTTCCTTTCCGACGGCGACGACGTCTTTTCGTCTTTCGCCGACTCTGTCGAAAAGAGACGTATGTTATTTAGTTAAATGTTAAACAGTTCGTTTCTCGTTAGTTAGTTACAGACAAAATAAATTCGCAGCTTTGATTTGCTGGCTGTTTTGTTTGTTTTTCGTTTGTTTAAGTAAATGTGTTTCCCTTCCGCGAAGGAAATGGGCCAACTCGGAGGTAGTGCAATACCGACAACCCGTGGCCAGGGCGAAGCAAGCTCCAATCCCATGGCCGATATCCAAAAATCAGTTTAATATAAGAGTCGGCATTGCCCGACATATCAGATATTGCTGATAAGAACAGATACTACACTTGATCTTAGCCAAAAGGCCGAGAAGCGATACAGAAGAAGAGCTTTCGCCATTTTTTCACTCTACAAGTTGCATAGAGAACACACGGTTCTATTGTATCTTTTCGCGTAGAAATCATGCAACAAATGAAAAAATCAAAGCGAGTACGGATATGAAGGAATCATCCTTTACTACAATCGTCATGTCAAGCGTTCTTTCTAATCCAATGTACACCTGTTCGTAAAGAAGAACATGTTTTTGAAAATTCGCGCGTAATGCCGCGAAATGCGATCGTTTCATATGACGTAGGAAGCACGCGATGTCTGTCGCGAACTTGCTGCAGACGTGCTTTCTCATTGTAAAACAAACGCTTTGTGCTTGTGGGCGATAATGATTCGCATTGTATGCAAGTGCTGCAATGTCAACAAGGTCATGCTTCATGAAATCGGCAGACAAGCAGCTCAATGAACAATTTTACACTACGAGCCGTTAAATGTCAGTGATACATAGAAATAATTACTATAAAAGCTAAACAAACGTACGACTAAGTAAGAAAAACGTTCGCAATGCAATATCATTACAACGTCGACGATATATTATAATTTGTATACTTTCATAATGTATATGCCGTCCGTCAAAATATACACACACGCCGGCCGTTTACGTCGTTGTTAAGTACAAGTAATTTATGTCAAATACAAGTAATTTATTCTTGCTAATAGCTGATATAAATTTCTCCTGCATCTCGCTATGCATTTGGGATAGGTCAGTAAAAATTTGGCAGCATGCAGCCTAACTGAACGAACAACGAATTTATATATGTCCCAAAGCGTGGCATACACAATTGACGGACGAAGGCCCTCTTCTCTCTATTGTGTTCTATTTTATTTGTTCTTTTCTCCGCTTCTTCCTCCCATCGTGAGAACAGAAGGGGACGAGCGCGAACGCAGGTCCCCACTACCAGAAATTATACGCTCGAGTTACCCACGTTAGGGGTAATCGCAGGAGTCAACCCAGTCGAAGTGCAATGAAAGGGCCTCATCCTGAGAGGACCTCCTAGCTGATCAAGGTGCCTCTCGCGTCAGGTAAGTATGCTCGAACGACGCACGGCGAGCATACTTTGTACGCGAACGTACGCTCTGTGCGACACGGTTGCACCCTCCCTTTACTTTTTCACTACTTTTTGCGTGCCGTCTGACGGCCTTTATTGTCTTCCTTTCCGACGGCGACGACGTCTTTTCGTCTTTCGCCGACTCTGTCGAAAAGATATGTTATTTAGTTAAATGTTAAACAGTTCGTTTCTCGGTTAGTTAGTTACAGACAAAATAAATTCGCTTAGCTATTTGATTTGCTGGCTGTTTTGTTTGTTTTCGTTTGTTTAAAGTAAATGTGTTTCCCTTCCGAAGGAAATGGGCGAACTCGGAGGTAGTGCAATACCGAGACAACCCGTGGCCAGGGAGCAAGCTCCAATCCATGGCGATATCCAAAATCAGTTTAATAAGAGTCGGGCATTGCCCGACATATCAGATATTAAGCTGATAAGAACAGATACTACACTTGATCTTATTTTGGGTGGGGACCGGGTAGGTTACGAAGTCGGGGTGTGCAATGACTACGAACCCTTACGTGCAAGACCGGTACACTCAAGGAGGCCGCTACAAGCGACGCAGATCGACAGAGGTTGTGAACCTCTCCCCCGCGGACAAAACCGACAGAGAACAAAAAGGTAAGATCTAGGATCTTTCGACGATACTAAGCCCTGGCATAAATGTCAGAACTTTGACAAAACGCACGAAAATGACGAGACGAGATATTGAAAAGGACAGCAAGCTGCCTTTTCGCAATCTACGCAACGTACGACGAACGGGCTATCCGGCAGTACAACCAATGAAGGCGACCCCATCAGCACCGTCCCACATATTACCAACATTCAAGACATAAAATCCTTACAAAGGATACGGTGTTTTCGTCTGTGATGGTACCGATAAGGCCACGAATCAACCATTCGTCTTCGAACTGCGTCAACAGACAGTGGCGATGTTCAAGTTTCACCGCGATCGGAAGGTCGACTTCGCCATCCGCAATACCGAGGCATCGGGGAGAGACGGTCAAACCTGCATCGATTGCGGTGAAGCCACAGATGATGGCGAAAAATACCCAAGAGGGCATTCACGGCAGCGGGGATATTCTTCGCGTCCGGAAGCCGAAGAGAATGGTGGAGATGGATAGGGAGATGGTATGTCCAAAGACACCAGTAGAGGGTCATCCAGGCCCAAACGGTCTTGGCGACGGACAGGAGTAAAAGGTGGATAGCAGTTTCCTGCTCTCCACAGAAACAGTTCGCATCTACGCGCATGCCAAAGTGAAGCAACGGTCCGCGTGGCCAAGCGGCCATGAAAGTTATAATAGTTCGTGTCTGCACATGATCGTACAAATCGCCAGAGGCGAAGAGAGCGCCACACAGACGGCCAGTGGACGTGAATCTGTTGCGCAGCAAATTTTTCGATGGCTTTATGCGGAGCCAAGACACTGTTTAACAGAACCGAGTATGTACGCCCGGCAGTAAGTTCTTCCAGCGGAATCGGAGCAGCATCGATATGCCCGACCAACCATGCATTCTCCTCACGTCGGCCCTTTAGTTGCAGCCAAGTATGCACAAGGGATTGATAGAACTTGGGGAGTTTCTTAATAAGGTAGGCAGGAGTGGTTTCCTGCGAGAAAAAAGTATCCAGGTCTTGTTTAAAGACTTGTTGCACGTAAGACGATAACAAGGAAGGCCAAGAAATATTATATTGCGAGAGCAAAAGACGTCTAAGCCAAATTGTTCGCAGAGAAAAGATTTTTGTACTAATATGTACAACCCCCAATCCCCCCCGAAGGCGAGGAGCAACGGCAGAGCTGCGGGCAATGGGTTCTTTTGGCTTGTTCCAAATAAACGGGAACAAGATCTTGTTGATGGCGTGAGTAACCGTCTTTGGCATGTCGAAAATTGTCGCTTGGTACCAAAAGATACTCAATCCCAAAGTGTTTGCAAGAAGGGTTCTACCCTGCAGCGACAGAGATCGCGAGGACCAAGATTTGACTTTTGTTTTAAATTTGTGTACAAGGATGTCCCAATCCGGCAAAACGGAGTTCCCAACACGACATCCCAGGACAATCAAGCAGTCGGACGTCCATTTTAGCGCAACAGGTAAGTCAGTCCTTGTTTTCCAAGCACCAAAGAGAAGACCTTCTGTCTTGTCAAGATTGAGCTTGGCTCCTGTGGCGTGGAAAACGATCACAAAGGTGCAATAGGGCAAGCAGGCTGGCATCGTCCATGACGAAACAAGTCGTATCATCGGCATACTGTAAGATCTTCACAGTTTCACCATTGGGTAGCGGAAGCCATGAATATCAGCGAGTCTTGAATCGCTCGAGAGCGGTTCGGCAGCCAGGATATATAAGAGTGGTGAAAGGGGACAACCCTGCCGCACTCGGAAATAGAAAAGGACCCCCGAGAGCACCGTTAATTAATATGCGGGAATATAAAGTATTATAAAGTAGGCGGATCCAGGCACGGAAAGAAGGTCCGAAATTCATGGAAGTTAAAACCTTCTGTAAAAAGTCCCAATCAATTCGATCAAAAGCTTTCTCTTGGTCGAGTGACAGTAGAACGCCACCAGTGTTTGAAGAGTTGGCAGAGTCCAGGCAGTCTTGTATTAAGCGCACTATCTCTCCCGAGAAACGTCCCGGGATACCACACGTTTGGCATGGCGAGACAACAGTATGGAGGACCTTGGCCAAGCGGCCAGTGAGGACTTTGGACAAGATTTTGTAATCCGTGCAGAGCAGTGTGATCGGACGCCAGTTCTTGGTGTCCAATTTGTCACCTTTCTTGTAAAGAAGCGTTATTATTCCCGTTCGCTGGGACAGGGATAGTTTCCCAGTGGAAAAAGAGGCATTGAGTACAGATACTAAATCTGGGCCCAGAACGGTCCAAAATGCACGATAAAACTCATAGGTAAGGCCATCCACCCCCGGAGATTTATTAGTTTTAAAGGAAGTTAAGGCAGCGGTACACTCTTCTAGAGAAACGGTTCCCTCACAAAGAGCTGCTTCCATAGGTGAGAGTTTATGTTTGACTCTCCCCAAGAAGAAGGATTGTTCAGCGGCGTCAAGGTAGGCGGCAGAAAAAAGGGCAGAGTAAAACAACATCCAGACGTGCAACATTCCACGCAAAGTTCGTACTGTATGGCCGTGGAGATCTTTAATTGCATGCATCACGTTACGTATTGCCTTGGTTTTCTCACGTTGAAAGAAATATTTTGAGGAGATTTCCCCCTCCTCAGCCCAACGTTCACGTGCTCGCAAGCGTGCACCTTCGGCTTTGCGGCGGTGGTGATCGTACAGACAATCCTCCACCTTTTTGATTTGTGCCGAAACGTCCTCACCGGCGTTACTGCGAGTGGTAAGGTCTAAAAGTTGTTTGTTGAGAGACTCGTACTGTTCTCTCTGTGACAGAGCCAGCTCTGTCGAAAAGTCAGTAGTGATCTGTCGTATCATTTGTTTGCCTACGTCCCACCAAACAGGTAAGGATGGGTAATACATTTTCTCTTGTTGCCAGTCCGTCCAGAAATTTTTGATTAATTTAATATAGGTTGCATTATTTAATAAGTGTTTATTAAATTTCCAGCAGCCCCTCCCACGCTCGGCGCATCCGGAGAAAAGGAAAGATATACGTATGAATGGTCGCTACGAAAGTACGGCAATATGGAGACTTCCTTAACGTGTGGTGCGAAAAACGAGGACAACCAAAACATGTCCAATCGCGATCCAACTTGACCGTTGGCACGAGACCAGGTATAGGAGCGTTCTTGAGGATGGCGTGCTCCAAATATCGACCAAATTCATATCGTTCGTAAGTGTGGCCAGTGTGTGGCCAATTTATGCAGGGTGACGTCGGGTTGCAGCCTTTGCGGTCAATTTGTGGATCAACCACCGTATTGAAATCTCCTCCGATGATGGTAGGGAGAGAGACATCAAGCAGAGGGAGGATGGAATTAAAGAACTCGATGCCAGGGTTCTTTGATTAGGACCGTAGAGTTAACAGCTGGAAGGGTGTGGAATGGAAGGAAAATGGATGACTTGCAACCGACCTTGTGAGTCGGTTGAAGAAGAAAGAACGGAAAGAGAAGGGTGATAAAGAACGGCAACGCCCCGCGAACGGGTCGTGCCGGAGAAGAAAGAACTTTGTACATAGACTTGTTGTTATCATGGCGATTTTCATCGTCGATCCATCGTTCAAACTCCGTTTGACTTGTGGCATGGGTTTCTTGCAGGCACGATCATGGGCTAAAAACAAGAAAGCCAGGAAAATAATATGGACCTTCTGTTGCGGAGGCCCTGGCAATTCAATGTAATAATAGTAATTGGTGATGATGAATAAGTCATTGTAAAAAGGTTAAAGGCAAGCAAAATTCAAAAAAGAAAAGAAAGAAAGAAAGAAAAAGGAAAAGAAAAAAGAAAAACGAAAAGAAAAAAGGAAAAAGGAAAAGGAAAAAAGGAAAAAGGGAAAAAAGGAAAAACAAAAAGGAAAAGTAAAAAGGAAAAAAGAAAAAGAAAAGAAAAAAGTTCAAAAAGAAAAGGAAAAGACAAAAAATTGTCTAAAAAGTTAATAAGATGGAGAGCCCCCCTGGGTGGGAAGCACTGCCGCCAATTTATATAAAGCGTCTGCGTCGTGTGCCACGGCACCAGCAGATTCATTGCGGTTCTCAGGTCGTTTGTCTTTCCTGAGTGAAAGTCGCACGGGACGAGGAGCAGGCGAGTTGGGCAGCTCCGCCTCCGGAACAGTAGCGAAGGAATCACCATCATCGCTGGGATATTCATCCTCCCCAAGGTCTAGGTAGTCGGCTGGGTCCATTTGGTCCACTTCCGATTGCTGTGACTCTTTGTCGTCACCACTATGATCATTTTCATCATTATCATCGTTTTCATCGTAATCGTCATTTTCATCATTATCGTCATTATCAACATTATCACTATTAGCATCCTTATCATCATCGCCATCCAGGTTCGTATTCGTGTTTGTCTCGTCGTCCATGTCCGATTCATCATTATCATCATCATCATCCTCGTCGGTGTCCGCAGGAAGGGGCACAGTTTCAGGAGGGGATTCCGTGCTCATGGGATCCGGTGTGACAGCAATGTCACCAACGTCCAAGTCATCGGGCGTTGCACGTTTCTCCTCTGGCTGCGGCGAGTGAGTAGGCGAATGGCGTCGTTTCCCGTCGTCGAACGGGGCTGGAAACGGTCGATGGGGAAGACTCCGTGTTGACAGTGCCGCCCCCCCCAGAAGGGGCAGAAAGGGCAGGCAAGGCAGAAGAGGCAGATTCCGGAGCGCCAGAGACGCAGGCAGGAGCCGACTGGGCACTACTATTATTAATATTTAATAAGGGAGTGGATGGCCCGGTACTCGGAGGTGTTGAAGGCAAAGGACCACTCCTCGTAACCGCAGCATACGAGCGCGAAGGAGCGGAAGGTACAGAAGACTCTGTAGTATTATTATTGCTACCGTTAGTAGCAGCATCGTTATCGTTGTTATGATAACTATCCAGGGCAGCT